AGCTTATGATAAGTTTAGGTAATTAATAATTATACAATAGATATATATATATATACCGTATTGGTCCATAAATAGACCCCAAAAGTTAACATTCATTATTCTCATCGGGATATAATAAAAATTCCATCAAGACAAATGCTGTATCAGTTGTAAGTTGAATTGCCTAATATAGAGGTTTAGTCAAGATGTAGCGGTCTGAAAAAGCATACATTTATTGAATTAACATAAAACTCTGAATACCTCATTTTAAGTTATTCAGGTAAATAATGATCAAAGTCAAGGATTTATGGTTGAATTTTGGTTTAATATTGTTACGTCCTTGATCTGTCTACTTATTTTTGTGCAGAGGATAATTTGTCTAACCTGAGGCTTATGTGCGTGAGTTCAAAGTGAGATCAACTTCTTGGGGTACAGAGACGGAAACTATTCTATCACCTTATTGGTTGACAAGCACGCGAGTGAGAGAAGACAAGTCAACTGAAATACTACACGATTTATTCCCAATTCCAATCCGCTCCCCGATTCAGAATAGTGCAAAAAGATGCATGAATAAATAGATGAATAACCAGACCACAACACTCAAACAATTAGGAAAATACAATTATGTCCAAAGCTGGGAATCAGAATAGAAAATAGAGCACAAAAGATTACGTTTAAATTACAATATCTTTGGGACAGAAAATGTTATGGCAGTGAATCATACATCAAACGAAAGCTTATGATCTGTAGAATAGACAAGGGAGAAAAAGAAATAACACTGTATTACAAGTTTTTGATTAAATGAAACAACGTCCCCCAAAATTAGCTTCCGTAGTTTGTCAATGCTTCTTGTTTTCTCTGTTCACATCAAATATCTATCACAGTTTAAGTATAATTCGTTCTTTTTTTGTTATTTACAGCAGATAAAAATTTACATGTTGAATCATGTAGTAAAGAAATAATTAGGCTGACCAACAAATTTACTTAAGACAGATTAGTAACTCAGTGAAATATATTGCTACTATTTAATGATTCTTAAGTTAAATTTCATTTCACTTTGTCATCGGTTAAGGTTAATAAAGTTAATATTTACTTAGTCTTTTCATTACTTACAATCTATCAGTTTTAATTTGTATCGTAATTCACTTACTAATTTCTAGACTACTTAAAATAACTACTTATATACGGTACAGTAATAGATAGATAGGTCTTTATTCATTTATATAAATTATACAATAAAAGTGGTATGAGCTTTCATTAAATGTGTAGGAGGTAATCTCAAAGTAGTTGTATGTAATTTTCATCTCTTTACAACATCATTTCAGCGAACTATAAATAGAGATTTTTTTAAAAACGGTAAATACTTAACTCAACTTCAATACATGTTGATTAATTACATGTTTTATGTTACTTAGATTGTTTTACTTAACATAGAAATTCTATTTTCTTGCAAAAAAAACAACAAATAAATTGTATGTTTATAACGTTTTATTGTCAATTAAGCGATAGAAAGCCATTAGGTGATCATTAGTATCGTATATCTGGATTTCTAAGCAGATTGTTGGTTAATATGAGATTTCAAACTTCATAACTATGCCACAGACAGCGATATTATCACTGTGGTATTCGAGTTGAAACTTAATTGAAGAAGGACCGTGGGTTCTGTACTGACTGATCATTGAGTGGTAATAATGTTATAGGTTAATGGAACTGCAGAACGGAAACCATTGGTTTTGTCCAATCATACCAAGTTTTTGTTCTACAGCTTCAACATCTCCATATTTGTGGCTCTGCTTGTAGCTAATTTGGTGTCGTGTTTTTACAATACGTGGTTGAAATTTAAAGTCAGTGGGAATATCCAGTTAATGAGTGGACGACATTTGCTCATACTGTTGTTATTTGAACTATTATAATTAACATTGTTACCGAACAACCTTTATAGTATCAATGATTGGAAACTGCTATTACTCTTGAATAAAACAGCTTTGTGTATAATTATTATTAGTTTGATTTTTTTCTGGATTGGAAATCAGTAAATGTTAACTAAGCCATATATCGTTTTTAACTTGGAAGTTCATGTTTCACCAGCGACATCACGCCTACCTAGTCCTCAACGATGATTGAGTTACACCTACCAATTCAATGTACAGATGTATAAAACATGTTCAACTAGGTTGAGTACAATTTCTGCAACTTAATTTAAGCTGTCGTAATTAATTGAACTAAGCGTTTCGCAAATAACAAATATACACCATGTGGATGACCCAGATATATAAGACGCAAATATAAAGTCGTATAGATTGCTTAAATAGAGATACAGTTTATAAGACTATTAACTATAAACTATTTATTATATATTTGTTTATTTACTTAATAATGCGATTTCTGTGTTATTGATGGTTCTGCTATATAAAAGCATGTGAAATTTCATTCGTCATAGTGTAATTTTGTTTATTTGATGACTTCTAGTTTCTTATATCTTTCGTTAATTTTGTGGGAACATTTTCATATAACTTATTAAACAAACAGATGATATAAGCAAAGATGGATAGTGGGTAGTAGTGGAACCCAGTTTGACGCGCGTTTCGTCCTATTCGGGACTCGTCAGCCGAGTATACCAGCATTTCAGGGTTGACCTTCATCCCGGAACTCGAACCCAGAATCTTTCACTTCAAACGTCATCACGTTATTCACTTAGCTATTGAGCCCTGATAGCCACTTACATATGCAATAGAGTGAAGTTTAAATTCTCTTGGTAAATAATACCAAGTGAAACAGATGATGTCTTTTCTAACTTTACTGAATATTCATTATATTCTTTTCTGAACTTGTGTAGAAATTTGAAAATGATTAGTAAGATGTATAGTTGGCATTTTTGGCCTATGATGAATATATCTGTAGATTAGCATTGTAAGTCATGCAGAGAATTAGAATGTAAGATGATGAAGCATAGACCATTCACTTTACTTACTACCCTATCTGTATCTATCCTTTGGGATATGAAGGCGCAAGTTCATCAGAATTTGTAAACGAGAAGGAAAATGCTAAAGGTTTACAATAACTCATCAAGTACAAGCATTACGTTACGAGAACCTTATTAAATATATAAATAAATATTTTTTGAAATGAATGGGTCTGGTTGTATTCTGTTCTATGAAATAAATAACTTTTCATTGTTCAAAGCAACATTAATAGCGTCTATTTGAAGTAAAAGTGTGATTTTTAAAATAATCTAAAACTTAGTTTTTCACTAGTCAATTTCATAGATTTTGATATCATTGCACTTCATGGAATTTTTGGTTGAATATTCCTATTTGGTTGACCTCTGATCAAATGTTTTATTGACTCATTCTATATTATCTGATAAACTGGGTCTATGTCGATGTTTTTCGTTCTTTGGAGATTACTCTAAATGCCATAGTTCAAGAAATTCTCCCGAATTTTCATAATGTCCTCGATATACAAGCTCGAAAATATTTATTTGTCTTTGTGTATTGAAATAAGCGTCATTTCACTGCTAGTTCATATTTGTCTATGAGTAGATATAAAGATGAGTAAACCTATTCTAAAGCAGTACTTTCGCTAATGATATAGTTTAATTAGTTGATAATGTTGTATTGACTTTCTATGACTGTTGTTTTAGTATAACGTGAAGTAAGTTTGCTGTATTGAAATGCGACGAACATTGATTTCAAAGGTTCCAATAATACTGCAATGACTGTTATATTATTATTGAATCTGATTTCTCTAGGTGATTTGTAACGGTAAACTGACTCACCAGAGTCGTTTTGTAAAGCCAGGAGGATAGCCGTTTCTATAGAAAAAAGTCAGAATATGGGCTTTTTTAACTCTTTACAATACTGTTTCTATACAAAATGTTCTGTGTACCGATAAGTTGTTGTTGGAATAATTTAATTTCTGATTTATCGGGTTCAGCCTTCTACATATTCCTATTTTCAATGCTTTTTTCAGTTTTACTGATGGATTAACTCACGAATAAAATTTTATATGCTTAATTTTCTCCTATCGTCATTTTGATATCTTCAAAGATATTGTCGATCAAAAATATGGGGTTGTGAAGATTATTATGTATTTGATTGGGATCATGAACCGATTAATGGTATATCACCATTGAAAGCATGAGAACACTGGCTGACCGTTTCGTACTGTTGTGGGACTTCTCGGCAGTGCACATCCACTATCCTAGTCACGGGATTCGGGCCCAAGACCTCCGGTCCCGTGCGCAAACACTTATTATTATTATTTTTTATCATATTTAGGAATAGCCCAGGACAGAGTTGGATGGCGAATGCTGGTGAGCGGCCTATGTTCCTTCACGAGGAGTAACAGGCGTAAGTAAGTAAGTATATTTAAGAATAACAAATCCATCAGTTCATGTTATCAACGAATATAAATGAATATTTGAAGAAGATAAATGAGAAATTCGATATGTTCTTGTCTAGAATTTCCTACCATACTAACTATGTATTATACAAATAAAATATTCATTCCCTAGTTAATGAGAATCAGTCTAATTTACTACACAATAGTTTTCTCTACTGTTTTATATTTAAATAGTTGAATTCATGAGTCAATTGAAGCTAGACTACCATCCAAAATCTAGAAGAACTGGACAGCTTTTTCCATCCTACTATAAGACTCCTCAACAGTGCGCATCCTCGATTCCACCCAGTAATATTTGAACCCAAGACCTATCAATCTCGCATGCGAGCACTTAATCTCTATTCTTGAATAGTCTTTCAAATTTCAGCAATTCCTAATCGTTTTTAATAACCCATCATGTTTATTTTTTTTTTATATTTATTTAGAATGAATAGACGTTTTATTCAAAAACTTTATTCTTTTTTACACTTGAAATGTTTCATTTTGTAACTAATTTTTAATTGATAAAAGGTGATAAAATGAATTACATGTATTATGTATATATACTGTTTAATAATATAGAACTTTTTCTCTCTTTAAAAGTACTTCTTTCTATTCTTTATATGACTTCATTGAAATTAACCCATAAAACCTCGACGTTTGCCAATCATTCCTCGTCTTTTTAACATAATTCGAAAATAGGTCGCTGAAATTTGTAAATATTAAAATAAAAAAGGACAAAATAATATCAGTTTAGGGGTTGTGGAGATTGTTAAGTTTTTAATTGAGATCATGAACCGATTGATGTTAGACCACCATTGAAAACCTGGAAGTACTGGATGGCCGTTTCGTCCTATTGTGGGACTCCTCAGCAGTGCGCACCCACAATCCTGCTCGCGGGATTCAAACCCAGGGCCTTCGGTCTCACTTAACCTACTGGACCACTGAGCAGGCATCCAATGGCGTCAATGTCTAACCTCAACCAATCCACGAAACTGCGCAACCATCTTCGATTGTACTGAGGGAGACACTGCTGAAGAGTTCCAAAATAGGACGAAACGACCATCCGGTGCTTCCAGGTTTTCAATGGTGGTCTAACATCAATCTGTTCATAATCTCAATTAAAAATAATAATAATAATAATTGTTTCTTAATAATAACCTTAAATAAGAATAATTGGTAAGACTATAATTTATGGATGACCTTTGAGTGACATTAAAGTGAACTTGAGAGTCTCCACCTAATACCTAGGGCTAAATCATGGTTACAAAACAATGTGAGAAATTTGAATTATAATTTACAGTTGATAATTAAGATTAGGAATTAGATTAAGGTTTTCATCACGAATTACTATGAGCTATAATCCTAAAAGTGTATACAGCCAAATGGGTGAATGAATTTCATGGCAAAATCTAAGACCTGTTATTTTCAAACTCACTTCAATCTCATTGAATCATCTCATCAATTCTTTAATTTTAATCATAATAGATAAGTATAATTGATCATTATAAATTCATTAAATAAACATAATAGGATAAAGAGTCGGTTTCGAACTGATAAACTACGTTTGTCTTTTTTTCATAGATATACAATATAGTCGGATTGTTTTTGCGAATATATTCGTTGACTGTATAGATTTCATTAATGTCTTATATCTTCATTACACAGAAAAAGAAAACTATATAGCGGAATAACTTCAAACGTATTGTTCACCTTTTCTTTTTCTTTTGATTTATCTAACATCAATCATACATCACGAATATGCATAATAATAATAATAACAAGTAGTAGTAGTAGTAGTAGTAGTAGTAGTAGTAGTAGTAGTAGTAGTAGTAGTAGTAGTAGTAGTAGTAGTAGTATAATATGCATGATAGTTTTTAACGCCTCTTTATCGGTAAGGCGTTATCTCTTATATTTAATTAATGGGAATAGACAGTTTTATTTCATTATTTTGTTTGTTTGTTTTTTGTTTGTCAATTATTCAATTACGTAATTATTTTGAATCTGTAATGTTATAGTAATCTAACTAGACAAAGTAATAAACATTCAATAACAAATGCGTTCATTATTAAATATAAATGTTTACCAACAACCATAATGAGCGTTAAATTGATTAGATTATCCAGCTCACAGAATGTAACATCATTAAAGTCTTTTATACAATCTGTTATTATTTTTTCCTTTTTATATCATAATAACTTAGACTCTATAGTTTTAATAGTTGAGATCATGAGTCAATTAAAGCTAGACGATCATTGTGGAAAACCTGTAAACACTGGATGACCGTTTCGTCTTATTGCAGGACTCTTCAGCAGTGAGTATCCACGATCCCAACTCGCGGGATTTGAACCCAGGATCTATCAATCTTGCACATGAGTACTTAATGACTAGACCACTGAGCCTGATTTCGAATCTTGTGAGTCACGATCGTGGATACGCACTGCTCAGGAGTCCTATAATAGGATGAAACAGCCGTAGAGTGCTTACAGGTTTTCTATAATGGTCTACCTTCAATTGACTCATGATCTCAACTATTAAAAATTTACTATAATATCCACAAAATCTCTTCTGATGTTATACTCTATAATCTGAAACTTTGATAATATTTTAATTGACCGACTCAAACTGGTATATTTTAGTAGGTTACTATTCTCATCTCACGGTATTTTCTCATCAATGTTTAGTGTATCGAGGAATAGTTTTGAAGTATGCATTCTTATCTTTACACTACTATGAGGCTTTTCAGTAGTGTGACCATAAAGATTTCACAGAATTTAATCAATTCTTTTCAGCTGATCATATGAATTTATTACTTATATCCAATTAAATGTGACTAAATAAAAATAGTCCATGTGAACACGAACTCATAGAATTAATGATATATCTTCATAAAGTAACCAAAATTGTGTTTTTTCCTCGAAGTCACTACAACAAACCAGGAAACATTGCTAGTTGTAATATTACACTATGTTATACTGATCATACTGCTGTGTTTACTGAACCACAGTGTGCAGACTGATGTGTTGACCAGAATTACTGTAACAGGTTTCCTACGCTAGAGATGTATCGAAGCTGTGGCTAATGTTTCTGTTACTGTTAGACACTTTAAGCAAGATAATTTTTACAAAGGAGCTTTCACTGTTGCTGTAGACGTTATCAGAGCATAGTGTAGAAGTAAATTCCTTACTTGCGTTATGAACTCAAACTATCAGTGAAATCACACGGTATTTTATCATTGAAATCGATTTATCCTGACGAGTACAGACGTAAATTTGACGGGTGAAGGAAATTTTAAGAATATCAGGGAATTTCTGGAAACATAATAATCAGATCAATCGACAATCGACAAATATACGGAATTATACCTTGTCCATCACACATTTTTTTAAAAGGTCAATCAACAAACTGAATGGAATTCAATCAAACAAGAACTTTAACTTGAATAAAGAAATATGAAAATAATTGAAATCCACGAGAACAACCAATCACAGACAATGACGACAGAACTACATTTTTCAAGGTTCAAAGAATAACTAAACAGCTTAAGGATGAATGAATATAACGACGGTGATTTTGTTCTAGAATAACAAGAGACCAGAGAACTAAACAATATCAGTAGGGTTCATGTTTCTAATTGAGATTAATTTTTGCATTTCATATTGGATACTTCATTTTCCACGTATGTACATCAGGTAGAATATGAAAATTGGTCACTGGTGAAGAGTGATACCATTTTTTTCTCAAAATCTTATGAAGATTCTTTAACCGATGACCTAACTGTCAATTAGTTTTGTAATAGTTGAAACATTTAGTAAGGTTTTAGGATGAATACATCAGGATAATCTGAATATCTGCAGATAAGTGACTATATTTTGAAAAGTCATGGATTTTATATGAACTATCATGGACTCCAAAGAAATAACTATTATATTTAAATATTTGTTAGTATGCTGGGTTTTTAAATCAACGATCCTACTGACAATCAAACCAATGGACTTCTGTCTCACAGCGAGAGTTCAACCTTCAGATCACTGAGCCAGGATCCACTAGTATACGTGTCTAAATACAATCAATCTGAGATAGTACGAAATCATCTATTGACAGAGATGAATAATAATAATAAGCACATCAAAATGGAAATATGAAGTAGATGTGGCCTATAGTAATAAATGTTTGAAATAATACAATATATTATCATTGTTTTCATTCAATGAAGTATGATTTATAAATGATTCTTTATTTAATTAATTTAAAGATGAATTAATTGTTATTTTCAGACCCACACTTGCACAATTCATTGATTCATGAATAGTGACTAAAGTCATGTTTGTCTAGTTGTCAAGTACCTACCGGATTCCGTTAATCAAGTTACAACCTGGATACTAGTACAAGTGGTTTGACATCATATACATTATATTGAAATGTTAAATGTTTGAAGCTATTCTACAGGAAACCCTGTTTCACGAGAAAAAAACTGTAGTTTATGCCTTAATCACTAAGTTATTCAGAATAGAATATTGATTTATCAGTTAATAACTGATTAAACTAAAGGTATGAATTAAAGAAATACAAAAGAATGTTACTTACAAAGACAATCAGATATATCGACTTCTGTTTCAGAGTTTTGATCACAAAAATTACAGACATCATGAATTGAAGGATTGGAACAACATTCATTCATAGAAATTTGTTCACTTAACACACATCGTCTAAAAATATAAAACAAAGTATACATTATATGGGAATCCATTTTTTATCCATGGTAACAATAATATAAGTATAATTTCAAAAATGTATAGATATATGAACAATTATGTTCCACTGCTAACCATTGTCCATCTTTGTTTATAAAGCTTTTGACCTCATTGCACAAGAAAGTGGCTATCAGGACTCAGTAGCCAAATGGATAACGCGATGGCATTTGAAACGAATGGTAATGGGATCGAGTCACGGAGTGAACATCAACTCTGAGATGCAGATACATCAGGCTGACGAGTCTTAAATAGGACGAAACGCACGTCAAATTGGATTCTACTACTAGCCAGTATCCGTCTTTGCTTCTAATGCTAATATCAAGGCAATTCTCACAGGATGCACATATGTCAATAAGAGATTGATCGATTGCAGTTCTAAATAACAATGGGGAGATTCAAGTTAACAACACCAAGTGAATTATGTTAATTATAAAGGACGTAATTTTGTTAGATTTACTTGTATAATACTCTGGAAATGTATTAACTATGCAGTTTGTAATTAATATTATCATTCCTAAGTTAGCATGGTGATATAAACCTTAGACTCACATTACTGTAACAATTTTTATATGTACCTTGAAGATTTCAATGTCATTCTGTAATTAAAACATTGAAACATCGTAAGCTTTTTATGGTGTCGGTCTCTAAATTACGAGGTTACTCGAAAACCTTAAACTTCGATAAAACTATAAACTCAAGTTTAGTAATAGTTATATTCTTTTATTTCATTTACAGAATCATATATCAAAAGACTGAAATGCCAGTTTACTGGAGGAAGTTAGAAGGAAGAACTGAATAAAGGTTTCATGCTGATTGATAGTGATCAGTAAGGGATTTCTTAACGAAGTTCTAAATGATGTTTCTTATAAGTTCGAATTCCTCATCACTGAGCTGTTTCAATTGTAAACCACTTCTTGCAAAACTGATTTATAAAAGGTTTCAGGTTACTGTTAAGTAAATAAAAATTGAACAATATGACTGCAAGACTATAATTTATGGACGAACCAATCACATATAAGATAACAGGTTTGAGATTTTGGTGCGAAATTCACTCATGCATTTGGTTAAATTGAGTTTTGGCATTATAGCTTATATCAGTTCATGATGAAAACCCTAAATATAATTCTTAACCTTGACCATCAACCGTAATTATAATTCCTCATACAGGTTTATAATCTTCATTTGGTTCTAGTTATTAACTGGACCCTCTCAAGGTTGCTCAAAGGTCGTACATAAATTGTAGTCTCACCAATATATTTCATCTAAACAATGAGTATTAAAAAGTGATTTGCCTTCGTAAACCTTTAAGTAAACCTTAAATACACTAATCTTCAGTAACTCGCCATACTAGTTTCAAAGCAAGCTCATAAATAGTATACTAGAATTCATAAATATTCGTATATGATGTTTATGAATAGTGAGTAAATGTGAGTTTGGATGATGACCGAACGAATGGATTGAATCTGAAAACGTAGAGCATTGTGTTTGGACTCATTATTTCGATAATATCGTGTTCCTATTGAGAAGTGAATGCCCTAAATTAGATCTTGGGTGATTGTTAGTGTAGAAAACGATATTAGAAAGAGATCATTTCTTCTGATGACTTTTCATTTGACTTTACCTATCCTTAAAATTGAACTGCACAAGCGTTTGCAGGGCGATCAAGCAAGGTAATGTAAATGCAGATTTAGTGTAATAATACGAAACGAATATCAATCATTCAAAGAACCTTATTTATTATATAGAACACCTAAATGATACTCGTTTCACCTATATCATAATGATTATTTTTAAGAAGCATAAATGAAGTTGCACTTTTACGTATTGAATATAATCTTCACCACAATCATTGTGTACAGTGAGTGATCTTGAAGAGAATGATTCAAACATATAATTGATGGTCAGAATAGATTGAAGATGATCTTTATAAAATACATTAATCAATTATGCATGGACCTTCATCAAAAATAATTATTATAATAATTTAAGGAATGAGTCGGAAGGTAACAAGTTCGAATTCTCGCATGCTCAATTGTCTTAGCCCCCAAATGCCCTGGTACAGATGAGAGTGGAGGTAGTCAGCTCTCTCTCTCTAAATGCTCTCAAATGACCACGTGCATACAACCACTCACAGAGAAGTCCGCCTCACCGCCTTCTCGCACAACGGGCGTTGTTTACGAAATCGAGATGAGGGAGACCAAATGTTCGGTATTTTAACCGGATTGGTGAATACGGAGAGTTTACCTAAGGGAGTTGGAAAACCCTGATTCCAAACCAATGGTGTACATGGGCCGGCCCCAAGATCCTGATGGAACAAATGGCCTATGAACCAGTCGTTGGTTACCGGATACCATGGGACTGCATCTCCTGACATTGCTCTACTGTCTTGTGGATCAAACCCTTAGGTCAAAGGCTTAGGGTGTAGCCCCCTAAGAAAACGACCTGTTTCGGTTTGGGTACACGGGCAGTATCCCATCTGTCACACAAATCGAATGATTTTATGTGGCCCATATCTATTTGGTGCCTTTTTGTACCAATGCTTATGTGTTTAAATAAGTAAATGATTAAATAAGAAATAGGCGATGAATCAACTCACTCGCAAGCTCCAATATTGCATTTAGAGTATTTCGCTTTAGATATTGAAATAGTTAAGAAGGTAATAAGCATACATAGAAGTATATAGTCTTTTATTCGTTTGTAGAACATGCTTAATCTTGTCTTTAAGTTGTGATGTTCTTGCTAAAATGAAAGAAAATATATTGAGCAAGTGTTGTTTGAATACTTTACATTGAATATAAATTAAATTACATTAAGTGAAACTGTCAAAAAACAAGTGGCTATGGTGTCCATCCAATAAACAGGACTAAATGAGGGTCATAAAGCAATTATGATTCACACTTGATGATTAGGGTTAGGGATTAGATTTATGGTTTTCATCATGAACCGATATCGGCTATAATGTCAAAAGTCTATCAAGCCAAATAAATAAATGAATTTCGCGACGAAGTCCAAAATCCGTTATCTTAAACGTGATTGGTTCGTCCATAAACTATAGTCTCGCCGAGGCTATTATTCGCTATACGTTTTTTTATTCTTTTTCAATGATACCACAGGTCTCTTTTATTATTTAGATTAATTTGTTTGAACAATTTCTTTTACCATGAACTGATAGCTCCTGGGTTCGAATCTCACAAGGCGAGATCGTGGATGTGCACTGCTGAGGAGCCCATACTAGGAAGAAATGGTCGTTCAGTACTTCCAGGTTTGCCATGGTAGTCTAGCTTCAATTGTCTCATGAATTCAATTATTAAATTGCTACAATCTCCACAAACCTCTTCTCTGATTATAATTTCTTTTTTCTCTTTGTTTAAAACTTAAAAGCTATTGATATTGTATTTTATTCTATAAAAGCTGTTACGTTTATATTGCTATGTAGAGCTGAAGGTCCCATATGGGACTAGAGGTTAGCCATTGATATCGTGGATGGTTCGGCATTACTTTGGCAAGTTTTGCTGACTGTTCATGCACAAAATTGGTTTGCTAGTTAACCGATTTCATTCACACTGGTAGTTGCTTTTCAGTGTTCTCAAGGGCCATTGTCATTGGGACATTTTAAGGGTAACATTAATCAGTTTGACTATCGTGTAAGTGGAACAGAACAACTTTGGCCTGTTCGTTCTGTGCATAATTGATTCATGCGATCATTGATCGTAATAACTACACATGTGATGTGAATGTATATATGAGTAGTGCGAATGGTCCACCAAGGTTCTTGGTACTTGTGAGGTTGCGCCACAGGATTGAGATGTACTATTCAGTTTGTAGGGTTAATGCCTATACGGTGACTGGTTCCCCTGTGAAGCGGGATAGAGCTGTACTGCTCGGGTCATAAAGTTTAAGTCTGGATGGTGTCTGGTTTTCTTGGAAACTGGATTGAGACGTACTATTTGAGCTACAAACTTTACGCCTGGGCGATGTCTGGCTCTCCTGTTAAACTGGACTGAGCTGTACTGTTTGGGTTGTCACGTGAAAGTCTGAATGGTGTCTGGTTCTCTTGAAAACCAATGTAAAATTACACTGGCACACAATGATATATTTTATAACTGACTAAGTTTTTATAAACTCATTCTATGATTGTGATTTGAAAAGTGTGATGACTGTCTACAATGATTAATATATCAACGTTATATTCCTTTGAAAGAGAATAAAAATCTGATTTACTAACTTTCCTTAAGGGTTAGGCGAATATTTACTAGTGAAATAAATAACGATTAACTGAATAGACTATAGCAGATGTATATTATAAATCGTTATCTTTCTTTCTGGTTTCTGTTTAGAGACTTGATCCCATAAAGTACATTTAAAATGTGCTCTTAAGTACTCAAGAAGATTGTTGATTGAACCATGAAATGATTAAGAATACTTCAGGATATTTTGTAGATTTTTGAAATGGCTAAATTTAAACCCATTTATTTATCATACCTGTCATAGAGACGCTATTATCATCAAGTTGTATTCACTTCCTTTTAATGTAGACAATTACTTTGTATACTTCTGAATCTGTTCATTGATTTCATCTTACTAATTTTACTGAAAATATTCAACGATTACAAAAACTTCCATTTGATACTCAAAATGTTTAGTCACTTATCTAAAAAAAAGGTTTCAATAGACTAGTATGTATGTCAAAAAAAAGTGTAATTTGAGTACACATTATTATTGATAGTAAATTGTTCTAACTTACACACTTATACAATACATCCAAACTGGTACTTACATCTCACATCTCTTCATATATAATACATAATTTGAACATTTTTTTAAAAACAACTATTATGAAATTTACTTGGTATTACCGTATATGAATCTTCCCATCAATGTTTAGGAGTGCAATTGATCAGTCAGTCTCTTATTAGCATATGTGCATACTGTGCTTATTGCCTCGATGTAGCCAATAGGAAGATTCAAACAGACAATACCAAGTGAATTTAAACTTCATTCCATTGCATAAGCAGGTGGCTATCACGACTCAGTAGCTTAGTGGATAACCTGATGGCGTTTGAAGCGAACGATACTGAATTCAAGTCTCAGAGTGTACATCAACTCTGAAATTCAAGTACATCCAGTTGACGAGTCACGAATAGGACGAAACGCGCGTCAAACTGGATACCATTATCCATCTTGAAATGAAATATTTAATGCGTTTTTTCTTGCCGATGGCTCATTTCGAGGCTATTTTTCTCCTAGTTTTACTAATGTACACATTGTTTTGTTTTTACTTTTTCTCCATATCACTAATTGTAATTAATTCAAGTGTTACAACAATATCTATCATTAGTTCTTTTAATTTAATCAAAGTAAATGTTGTTTACAAAGTATGTATGCTTTATTATAATGATTTTACTTGATAGTAATTATCGAGTTGAATATTAAAAAAGAAAAAAGATTACAGTAGATATTCTTATAAATAAATAAAGAATATAGACATAAAGTGCCGATTAGTATCTATAGACATAAAAGCCAAATGATAATAATAATAATAAGTTTCCAACTGAACAATTTCAACCAATAAATAATAGTAAAAATGTAATTCACACTTCGTTAACTAGATTTTTTAACGGGGGGGCGGTTAGGAGTGAGGGTGGGGGTGGGGTGATGGAAAAGAAAATTTATTCTTTGATCCGTTATGTTGTAATGTTGTAATCTTTTAAAGACAATAAAGGATTTTCATTTTGTACCGTTTATATAATATGTATATATATATATATATATATATATATATATATATATATATATATATATATATATATATATATGTTTAACTAGAAATCAGTCATGCAAATTAATTGTTTATACACTTAGTTAGATTATATTGGTTGAATAATAAATAGTTGCTTAAGTCTAATTTAATTAGTTTCTATTTAAAAAAACACATGGATATTTTAAAATAACTGTGAGAACGGTCCATAGATGAACACGAGGAAGCGTTAAGAAGCTCAGAAAGAGCTGAAGATATTCCATCCAATCATGTTTTGGATGAATATTCTAGAATCCCTATGTGTAACTTCCCTATTAGACAAATGATAAATGGTTATTTGAATAAAATGATTATACACTCGGATAAAAGAAAATGTGTACCAAGAATTTATTTGATATGAAAATTATAAAACTAGTGAAATGTCCACTAGTGGAATTTTGTCATAGATTTATAGTTAGATCTTGAAAAAGATTTTTCAATTTGATTATATCAATCAGTAATAAATACCAGTTAGGATGAAAGGAAATGTACTTGGGATAATGTTTAACACAGTTGAATGGGTATAACCGTTCAACTTCAATTAAAGAGAAAACCAACATCCCTTTTATTCAAATCAAATACTTCTCAAATAGTAACTAGTATTCTGTTATCTGGTACCAAGTACTAATTACATTTAACTCATCAAACCTTAACTTGAAACTATTAAACTAAGTAACTTGACAAATGCATAAACTGAAATGATATAAGCAAAAATGGATATTGGTTAACAGAGGAAATCAAGATGCTGTAACGATGCAATATGCACAGTATACACATATGCCAATAAGAGACTGACTGATCACTTGCAGTCTTAAACATCAATGGAAAGATTCAAGTAAAATAATACCAAGAGAATTAAACTTCACCCCATTGCACAAGCAAGCGGCTATCAGGACTCAGTAGCTGAGTGGATCACGCGATGGCGTTTCAAGCGAATGGTACTGGGTTGAAGGCTTAGAGTGAACATCAACTCTGAGATGCAGGTACATCCAGCTGACGAGTCTCAAATAGGACAAAACGCGCGTCTTGGATTCCACTGCTAGCCACTATCCATCTTTGCTTGTACTACTATAGTAGTTCATATATTTTCTTTCTCTGAAATTCGATGATGACAGAGGCTACTATCACAGAATTTATACGTTAAATATGGAAAAGGATGTTATGGAAACAAAACTGAACGTAAACAGTCACAGATTAATTTGAGTGATAGCTGATATTTGTTTGAAGACGCTTAATACACAGTTCCTTGGTTTTGGATACTCACAAGCGAAATGCTTCTATTCAAGGAATCTTTGCTATGCATATACATATATTGAGTAAGGTGATTATTATTATCATAAATTTGTAATAATCATAATAAAAAAATACTGGAAGATGGATTGTTTATAAAATTAAGTAAATATATTCTGTTACAGGAGAAAGTACTTGTAGGCTGAACTATAACTTATGGACGAACCAACCAGCTACTAGATTACAGGTCTGGGATTTTGGTGCGAAATTCATTTATCCATTTGGATAAATAGAGGTTTGGCATTATAGCTGATGTCAGTTCGTGATGAAAACCCTAAATATAATTCTTAACCTTGACCATCAACCGTAATTATAATTCCTCATACAGGTTTATAATCTTCATTTGGTTCTAGTTATTAACTGGACCCTCTCAACGTTAGTCTATTGTTGCTCAAAGGTCGTCCATAAATTATAGTCTCACCTACTTTTATTACAAATACTTTTAAGTAAACATTACTTCTTAATTTACACCCTGAATTAACTTTAGTTAGATAGTCGTTAAAATCTGGGAAGCACTGAACAGATGTTTCGTTGTATTTTAATAATTCTTGGCAATATACAATCACCACTACATCAGAGGTCAAACCCAGAACCTTCAGGATTTGTGGCAGAACTTACAGTTTAGATCAGTAAGTTTATATTTATTCCTGTT